AGAGAGACGGTACGTCGCTTGGCGGGGTCGCTGAGGTCGACCGTTGCGGCTTTGACAACGCTAAGACGTTGTCGGCGACGACGATGGAGAAGACATCTATCGATTCAAATCCATCCCGTCGCTTGATCCACCCGCGCACCTAGGACAAGTCGTGGATCCATGATCGATGGTTCTACGATCAGTCCAGCCACGGGCTTTTGAACGATTGTTCGCAGTACATCAAGAGATCGCGCGTTCTACGCCCGTTCGCTGGCAGCTAGTTAGCTCCCCTGCCGGCTCGTCTGCCTGCCTTTTCAAGATGAAGAACGAGCTTCTCAAAATGAAGTGCGGAGTCATCTTTGAGATGTCGTGTTCCACAAGGCGAACCGTTCATCTGGGCGTGACTGAACAATGTCGATCAACACGAGGCTCCACGCTCACAAGGCGAGTATCGAGCGGAAACAACGGAGTTTGATTCTGAATTCGTTCTGCGCGGCGTGTCGCTCGGGAGTTCTTTTTTCGCTTCGAAGACCAGGGCGTCCGCTTCTCCAACAGGGATCCACAGTACATTGCTGGAGTTTTTTCTTTTTCCGCTGGAAAGTATTGAGTTCTTCTATTGAGACTCAGACGCGAGTCTTTTTGAATCTGATACCTCATGTTGTCCCGAGCGAACTTGGTTTCGAATTTGAAGCAGACTAGAATGCGTGGAATTCGATCCGTAAAAGCCCGATCTCGTCGAGGAGAATTTCGTCGGATTCCGCTCGTCTTCCGACGCGCACTTGGATCTCCCGCAGAGATATTCCGATACTAGTTGAATCCAGTCATAGTTATGATGCTCTTCCGCGATTGTCCAACTAATTTCCGGATCCAGTCGGACCCGTTCGGACCAATGATTACCGAATTCGGTCGTAGCGCGGCGAGAGTGCTGCTGATCCGTATCTCTCGAATAACCGGGGAAAGTGATTTTTCTCCGACCCGAGAGTTTATGAGGTCGACGGAGTCACACATCAAACGTCCAGATCCTGGAACTATGTCGAGTATCTCACCCACTGAAAGAGCCAGAGGGAATGGAGACGATACCTTTGCACTTCATGAGATGTGATCCGACCGGAAATTCTCTGTCCTCAATCCGCACCATGCTGAGCTCGGATCGAAAAATATCGGCTCATTCTTCTGTTCACGGACTCGGTAGGGGTTTGAAAACCGTGGAGACTAGAGTGGAATCGATCGAGCTCGACCTCGGCGCGTAAGGAACAAGCTGAAAGTGCGATGTGCCGCCGACCTAACGTCCACGCCTCGCTTCCCGTCTGCCCTAGTCCATTCCAAGTCGGTTTACGAGCGGGCTGTGTTTGCTTGCTCTCCGCTCGCAGACGTACATCCGCACGTAGAGAAGGGCCGGAATGCAAGTCACGGATTCAAAGCCGTTCATTGCGGTAGCCAACTTCGCGTATGTAGCCTTGCTCTTTTATCGACTCCTCTGGCCGAGGAAATGCAAAGGACTCGCAAATCCTATTCCTATAAATAATAACCGAGAACAAACCGCTCAGGTGCAGGGGCGGCCTTCGCGTCGCCTTTTCCAATCGGCAGCTTACTCGCTGAATAATTCACTTGGCAACTTACTTCTAAAGACGCTGTGATCAGTGCCTTTTTCATCGCACGCTATCGCGAGCCGCATACGTCCCCGCCGGGTTGTCATCGTCCCGAAGGAGCGAGCGTCTCGATGCCGGAATTTTCTGTCACAGGCGAACTCAGAGAATCAAATGTGATCGCGTCTGGACCGCGATCCTGCAAGGAGGCGGGAAACGTCGTCACTTCCGTACGTTGGTCGTACCGTGGAGTGCTGGAATAGATCGCGTGGAACGATATCTGGGCGAGCGAAGATCTCGCCCTGAGGGTCGAGCGTGAAGTGCAACAGGAGCTCATCTCGGACTCGCTCGAGAGCGGGGTCTTTTGTGCAGCGTGCGTTAGCCAGTGAGTCCGCTGGGAAGAGAGAAGCAGGCTTTTTATCTGATGGCTCTCCCTTAGGGCTGCTTCCATCTCCGCTTAACATATGCACCTCATGCATCTCCATGAATGTGTGTCTGTGTATGTGTGTATCTATGCCAGGCACTAATCAGGACTGGCTCCGCGTCGCGTTTTGCGTTGTGACCCTCGTTGTGATCGTAGTTTTTCGGCGGTCACATGACGCTGCGATAAAAAGGAGGACCCGAGACAGTGCAACAGAGCCTCAACCCATTCATTGTCTCGAGGGGGAGAGCTTTTGTTCTAATCATCGCTCGGTCTTTTCCAGTGCTCTCATACGAACGCTCGAATCCTGCCGGTCCGCTGGCTAGTCAGTCGATTGCAATTCACTGACTCTCCCGCTCGCTTGCAGCTTTCCTTTGACGAAGGTTCACACCTTCTTCCACCATCTCCAGCAGTAGCAGAACTAGTCGGGCCTCTCGGTTCATACACAGACATTTCATTCGGTCGTATATCGCTTGGATCCGAGCTCCGGTCGAAGCCGAGACATCCGCAGCGGGGAACGACTTCGAAGTGTAATGAGCTCGAGCCGAGGGCTCCGCAGCGAGCGTTCCAGTTCCTAGCGAATTCCTCCTCGGTTACTCAGGGCGGCCAGTGAGAGATCGAGAGCCCCCGACGAGGGAAATTAGTGAAAGTCTCAAATATGTCGTTCAAGGGTTCTCACCAACAGCTGAGCCTCGGGGAAACTTGCTGAGTTGGCTTTTCGAGTCCCTCCAACTTGTACATACATACTGCATACATCATGAAAAGCAGGAGAATTTTGAAGGAGGCCATAATATGCATGGTCCTCGTCATTTGTAAGTAGCGGTGATGCTGCTGCTTCTGCTCATCAGGCTCGATAGAGATCCGCTCCTAGCCTCTCGTCGGTCATGCAAAGTACGCGCCGGCTCTCCGGAATAAAGCCGCGTGAGCGTTCGGCTAAACCCTCTGGCGGAGGACGACGACTGGCTTTGTAACGGATAAGACCGTAGAGCATTTAGGTATTCCATTAGCTTATCGTCAGCCGGCAGCGGCGCCTGTCGCTCGTCGCCCGCCTACACGCCCTTTCACACCCCTCCCCGTCTGCCTCGTTCGCCCCGTTCCCTGAACCCCAGCCCCCCCCTAACCTCCATCCCTCCCTGCCCCCCGATCCGACTGAGCCCCCGCTGGACTTGTGCGCTCCCTATCCCGACTCGCTCAGTTGTCCCTCGCATAGTATGAGCGGAGCCTCGTGATCCCTCCGATGTCCCCAGCCGTTCTTTCCCCGCCCTCCGTCTCAGTCAGCGAAACCCCTCGCCACCGGTCCCGGTCTCGTCTCTAATTGCCAAAGTTTTCACCACTGGCAAGTGGTAGTGCTGCCGCTGGTGTTTCTCTTTCTGCGACTCTTCCAGCTTTCGGAGAGCCGCTCCCCTCGCACTGTTCCGTGCTCTCTACATTGGCTTCGTCCATAAAAGTTATCTTGACCGTTTTCGGAGACGAACGGAAGTTCATCGGAGTCGTTAGCGACGACTCGTCTTCCCCGGAGGCTGATTCATCGAAACCGCGCTCTTAGGATTTTTGGTGTCGTCCCTTCTCTGCCGATGTACAAACACGATACGATAGCGTGGAACGTCGTCGGCCCACGTTCTTCCGGTTGTTCCGCTGTTTCAGGCCATCTGCTCCGATGCGGCTGCTGACGCTTTCTGAATGCAGCCCCCTGATGACTTCGTCCGCTGGTCGATAGACTGGAACGGTCATATCCACCCCATTGATAAGAAAAGTGTGCTCTCAGCATATTTCCGAGCGGTTCGACGCTCCGAACACACTCGTATGGGGTCCCGATCGCCCAATCGTTTGTTGCTCGTTTTCGAAATCACGGCCGAGCACGGAGCCGGACTTGACGTAGTACTCGCCATTGAGGAGTAGTACCCACTCCAGATCCGATGATCGGAATAATTAATTTTCCCCGACCCACAATGAGATTGAGTGCGAGAAAAGAGACTCGGGAGCTTCAAGGCGGATATCCACAATAGATGCTGCTCGCCATCGCGGCTCAACGAGCGATAAGTCAGTCTCGATCCGTGACTCGGCTACAAGACATTTTTCACTCGACGGACATTCCCGTCGTTCGAATCGGCACCGAATGCCCTTATCCGAGGGAAGAGGCCGGAGAGTGGGAAAGCTTTTAGGCCGAATTAGAATTAGCAAAATTGCTCTCGGTTCCGCAAGGAGCACCGAATGGTTGACAGTTCAATAAGGAGTGGGAGCAGGACGAAAATCCCAAAATGGCGGACTATCGAGCACTTCGACTTGACCGACCGGGAGCCGGACTCTCCGTTGCTCCGTTTCATTGTGGAGCCGGCCGTGGAATTAATACTCTTTCTCGCCACTCTCGTCGTCGCGCACCCACCGGTCGGGACTCAGGACCCATAACCGGATTATGGCACCCGGTAGGCTTTGCTGGACTTACATGTTGTACTGTTCTTTCGACTTTACGGGAGAGGTTCTGCGCCGGAAGAAGGGAGGTAATTTTCGGGGTGCTCGGCCGACAATGGTATCGGTACGAAAATGAATGGGGGATCGGGAGGGGAGACTTTGAAGGTCTTCTGATTCCCGTAAACATCGAGCTTTTACAATCGTCCAACCCTTTGCTTCCTGCTGCCGTCACCGCCACAATCACCCCGGGGCGGAAGCAGAAGAAGGCGGCAAGGACGTCTGGAGCACCGAATAGGCGTTTCACGCTTCTGTCAGTCAACCTTATCACAACAGCAAAGGCGTCGAAGAACTCGAGCCTCTCTGGCTCCGAGCTCCGAGAGCCTCGTTCGTCAGAGTCCATTCGAGCGGGGAAGTCGAACTAATTCCAGGGGCCCGTCGCTAAATCTCAATCCACTGCCCTGGAAAGTTTCGTATAAAGTTCGATATCTGAGCCCATAGAAGGACTGCAGCTCACAGCGAGAATTATTGGGAATCGGGAGTTTGGTAGGGGAGATGGAATATCGTCGGATTTATCCTCTTTAATGATATTCCTACTCTGATTCCAGCCTGCCAGTGTAATGGCCACTCGCGATCCTGTCGTTTCAACATGGAGCTCTACAAGCTGTCGGGAATGCGCAGCGGGGGTGTCTGCATCCGATGCCGCCATAATACAGCTGGACGTCACTGCCACCACTGTCGCGAAGGGTTTTACAGGGATTCCAAACTGCCCGCAGGTCATAAGCGCGTCTGCAAATGTGAGTTTCACCTGCCGCGCCTACCTGAGCAACACCTCGAGCATCGAGTTGTAAACCAACGCTGGATTGTAGATTACCGAATAGATCCGCGGAAATCTCGTTGCATTATGTTTATTCAAACCCGCTATCACGAAACTTTGTTGCAATTCCCACAGCGTGCGATTGCCATCCAATCGGATCGCTGGGCAGGACGTGCAACATGACCAGTGGTCAATGCCCCTGTAAAGATGGTGTCACGGGTCTAACGTGCAACAGATGTCAGAAAGGATACCAGCAGTCACGCTCGCCGATCGCGCCTTGCATTCGTGAGTTTTCTATTCACGGGAGAGCTATCAAACGAGTTCTATAAACCTGTTCATGGTCCGGTAACGGAGCCTTTTTTTTCCAGGGATGCATGAAACAGGTGACATGCGGTTGCAACAGACCGCAAGGGAACCAGGTAGGCATCGAACGGGGCTAGCTAGATATCACCTTGGAAAAATTCCCTTTCCTAGATGATATTCTGTTGGGTCTTCCTCCGATTCTCCGGAAATCAAATCCGAGTTCTTCAGAGCGATTTCTCTCAAAATTTAATGGCGCTTCCGCAGACGAGAGCTCAACAGAGCAGGATGATTACGAAGACGATGAGGGTCACTACGACGAAGAGTGCGGCAACTGCCGCGAGAGCATGAACGAGATTTCGTTCGCGAAATTCTGCAAAAAACATTTCGGTGAGCTTCGGAGATGAAGATCAGGAATCTATCTGCGCAAGCTCGATTGCCCAGTGGGCCGGCTGGATTCGAGCTTTTTTCTAATCGAACCTCTAATCGAAGCGAGTCGTGCCGAGGTCGGTCGGGACGAGCGAAGCGCCGAAGACGAAATGAGTAAAGCGGCGGAAAATTTATTGCAGCAATACGAGCCACGATTCTTGCCCGAGAGACCTTCAGAGATTGGATCCGCTTCTCAATCGAGGTCAATGAGGTCTTCAAAGCTGGCTCTGCGAAACCCCGTAAAGGGACCATAGACAGTCTCTGGGTTCCAATGGTGGATCTCCGATGCCGATGTCCCAATATCAAGCTGAAAGCTACATATCTTGTTCTCGGTGAGTGAGAACTTTCGTTCCGGATGATATTCCAGATGAGGAACAGCAGCGCTCGTGACGGCTCCATGGTCGCGCAGCGCAGGAAATCTTAATGGAAGCGATAACGACCAGCTTCTTTTACGTTCCGACTGTTTTTTACGTCCACGGACATTCACTTGAGTCAGCTATAAATATCCCCACGACGCGTTCCAAAGAGAACGATGAGCTCGATGAACGAATACGAGAAACGCACGAAAAGAGTTCTAGATCTTCTCAGCCGTCAGAGCGACGCGTCGCTCGTCAGATAAACGGAGTAGTACATGTGCTCTGGATAACATATTCAGATTGAACGGATAAGAGCGATGGCACTTGCGACATCGAAAGCGGCAGACTACTCCTTCGTCATTCATTACTCTATCCCCGCACGATGCGCGGACATTTTCGCGACGATAACATCTCGATGCTAATCAGGGTCTGCAAGAAATCCACACCGGAGTCAGAAGTGATCCAGAATTCGATGAGAAAGAAAATTCACCACAAAACTCTCATCGATATTCAGGTTCTAAAGTGTGCTCAATACCGAGCATGAAACTTTCGAGTGTGCCGAACGCTCCGGCAGTTCCCAATCAGACGCTGCGGGGGAAGCGACGTCGGGATAAAATAGTAGCTAATTGTGGCCGATCTCCAAGTTCAAAAGTTTCGTCGTCGAACCGCGGAGTACACAAGTCTTCCGATCGGAATGAGAAGCGTTGAATAAACCACACAGTCGATGATGAACTCGTTCGGAACTTCCGATCCGGCGGGTACTTCGCAGTCGCTCAAGAGTTACAATTCGCTGACGCCGGTTTCTATTTCGCAGGTTCTAATCAAATGCACGGTGGAAAAATGAGCATGACCGGTGATCGGAACGGAGCTCTTCTCAACGCAACAGAGGAAAACGTAAAGAAATTCCGTCGATATCAGGGACGAGGCAGACGATGTTCGAAAATGACTTGAGCTCGTCGAAACGATCCGGGGAAAAGATCAGCGAGCACAGGGAGTGACAGCCGCTCGTGCCTGTATCAACGGTGTCCCGAGCGGGACTTCGTGCGAAACAACGTGGCGTGACACGAAGCATCGTGTACATACATATCATCCTACAGTCTCGATTCCAATACAAAGTCATCCGTACACAAATTGATATTATCTTGCTTGAGAGTCGATACCATTATTATAAATATATCGTCATCGATATTACTATATGAACGACGTTGCCGAAGGCGGGGATTTCATCGAGGAACCTCCAGACGGCATGAGCATCATTTGACGTGTTTTGATGAAATAAATGGTCGGAACTGAAATCTGTGACGAAGCCTGGGTTCACCGTGGGTGTACGACTGGGAACGGGTGCTGCCCAGAATAGAGATGGTGAGAGTTTTTCTGCGACTCGTCCGTGTTCGTTCGTGACGGAATGAAATCGAGACAAGAGTCAGAAAGAGAGACGCAGTTGGCGCTGTCTGTGAGCGCAATAACCCCGATTGAGAGGGAGGGGGGGGGGAGAAGAACGGGCCAACCGTGAGGGGCTAGATTCATTCGCAATGCCGAACGCGGCGGGGTAGACGTATGTATGAGCGCCTCACAAGCTTATCGATATGTTGCCCTCGGCGGATCACCGCTGAGCTGTAGCATCGGAGGCAGCGGCTCCGCGGGAAGATAAGACTCGACGAGACTTGATTAGATCATTTACTCGTTCGTTCCCTCTTAGCCTCTTCTATTCGACGAAGCATGAATTGCATTCAGAAGGAAAAGACGACAGCGGGGGAGTCGCGGCCTAAGGGAAACTACATCGAGGAAAGATATTGGCTCAGAAAGAAGCCGGTTTCGACGTCTCAGGGTCGGTGAAGACGCCGAGAAGAAAGCATTCAATAATCGCACCCGATCGTCTTGTCAAACATTCGGCTCGGCTGGACACTGCTGCGTGATGCCGCTTTCCCACAAAGTCCAAGCTCCCATCCCTTTCTTGGGAAACCGTCGAAAAATTCCTGGATTGGCGGTATCTTCCTCGAACACCCTCCGAGAAGAAAGGATTTAAACAGTGAGTTTGCAATTTTGACTGAGGGAATGAGCACCTGATGCTCGCATGTCTCCATGGGGAACTCATGAGATCTACGCCATCACCGAGGCTCCTAACGGAAATTTTTCCCGGGACAGATCCCAACCTCGCGGGGAGCTTCACAGGAATGAAATTCCCGAAGAAAACGTCGCACCCTCACAGCTTCAAATCGGAGGGTGGGCCCAACACTCGGGTGGTGCAACACTTCTGCCCTGTTCGGCTCCGTCAAAACATGACGATTCTTTGGAGTCGCTATCGAGTTGTGGCCACCGGATACGCACAAGCCCACGGTCGGAGGAATATATCGGCGACCCCACCGTCATTAACACTGACACGGCCTGGGCAAAAGGAGTTTCAACGTCTTATCGTGACAGATCCGCAACAGATCAGCTGGCGGACGTTTTGGAGCAAGATGAGAGCGGTTCTTTCGTATGCAGATGCTGCTTACTTCCAGAATCAAAGATCAATAGTTAGTCCACGCCTCCGGCTACGGGATTCGACTGCCGTGCATTTTTCCGAGGCAGTTCTCAAAAACCTACATCTTCTGTTAGCCGCGGAAGGTGACGATGAGCTGGGAGGTTCATGACCGGGTAGGTTTCCAACACTCATCGTGAGTGTTCATCGATTATCATTATTAGCGACACGTCGGCAGTCTGCTGTTTGCTCTCGGGTGTGGCAGAACCCTCTGATGGACAGTAGACGATTCTGTTAGAATTCCCGGTTGAATTTCAAGGTGTGTCTGTGCAACAAGGCTTGCGCATTCATTTTCAACTGCGATCCACGTCTCGCCTGAGTAAGTCGTCTCAATCGAGGTGATCGGAGAGTCCCTGATTAGCTGTATCCCGCAGTCGTCCTCCGAGATTTCCAGAGGGACGCATTCTGATACTTCCGAGCTCTCCAGACTCGCCGTCCTTGAGTCCGGAGGCAAGGCGAGCGAAAGCTGTCCCTACAGAGATGACGTCAGTCGATACAGTGCGCTTACGAAGGGAGATTGCGACGGCCGCCGTGCTGCGGAAGACCACCGTTGGTGAACGACAGCATGCCAGGAGGACTCGTAGGGACACGAGAGCGAAAGTCTATCCTCTGGAGCTGTTACGCCACACTGGGAACGATGTTGCTGCTCATTTTCCCTTTGGCCTTCTGGTGCAGATGGCATCGGCGGCGGCACCGGGAGCAGGGTCGTCGAGTGGATTTTCTCGTAAGCCGCTTTGGCGATCGAGGATCACAAACGCTTTGGCCGAAAAGGTTTTCTCCTACTCCGTCTAGCTCCCTTTTTCGCTAGCTGGCTCGCTAGACCGCCCTGCCGCTCGCTCGTTCGGTCGTTCGTTCGTCCGCTCGCTCGCTTCCACATGAACGCAGAAAGAAAAGGCAGGGCGAAGTTAATACCGAGGGCGGTGGGTCTATGAGAGGTTTGCCGGGCCGCCGTAGCCGCTTGTAGGCCGGACCGTCGATGCCACGCGACCGACCAAGCAAACTCGAAGGCAATCGACGCTCTGTTTCTATGCTGCACACTTGAGCAAGGCTAAAGAACGACAGATCTCCTCGAGTGCCACCGCCTTCGCCCCTCGGAAAGAAGACCCGCCGACCGGCCAGCGGAGTTCGCGGCGGAGACGCCGCGCCGGTGGGACTCTGCCCTGCAGGAGTTGGGGCCCGGGTTTGTTCCTCCATATCCCCGTAATCTGAGCTATTCTCCTCGCTTCGGCTTCCTTACGCAGAACTGCGTCGGTCGGCCTGGCAGGAAGCAGCGGGAAGTCTCCGTTGAAAGAACGTGTTATGACGAGAGCGCATGTATGCGTTCCTGCATATGATTTTCGATCGAGAGCTTCGGGTTGAGCGAGATTCAGCCGAGTCCTCCGCCGTGTCGGTGGGAGCTCGATAAAGGTTCGAAAGTCTTTGATTTTTAAACCGAATATACATAACACCCGGAATGCGTCATCAGACGATTCTCGCTTGTGGAGATCCAATATTCTTATCGGACCTAAGGACAGCGGTTTCTATTTCAAGGGCTCGGGAACCTACTACCCATGTCTTCCCACGAGAATCTCGCTGTGCGTTCGATTAGAAATTCGGTCTCGGTCTCTATAGATCCGAAATCCGGATTTTCCGACCAGACGAGCCACGAGGCTGGGGTCTCGTGTCTCGTGTGTGGGAAAGCAGGTGAAAGCGCGTTGTCTCGCCTCGTTCAATCCTGGATGCGTTCAAAAAGAAGGACACATGCAGAGAGGAAGCGATGAGCATGGTCTGGTCATGAATTCTGTTCCCTCGGACCAACAATCCAGGAGAACGGACGATCATTGTCAAACTTCCCGGTTAGCCGTGACAGGCGACCGGCTGTCAACTGAATATCGTTTGAAGCCGCTGAACGAAAATTCTTGACGGCAGCTGGCGAGCTGCGAAGCGCACCGCTCGTTCGCCAAAGTCTGTCGCGTGCCCGATGGCAAATAACGTGATCGACCGTCGCAGATTCTTGGCGACGATTTTCTTTCCAGCGGCGTCGAGCTTGTTCTCTCGATTTTCGTGCGTCCATCTGTTGTTCCATGTTTTCGTTTGTTGCAGGTGCTCTCCCGCCCGCGGCCAGCTGCAACAAATGGTCTGAGCTTTATCATTGAACAAAAACCGCAAAACCCGAGTTGCACGCTGCTCCGGATCATTCTTCCACCCTCTCTCTTTCTGGACTTTTCGTTCCTTGTCGACAACATTGTACTCCGAGGATTCGATGGTAGGCCGGCATACCTTGAAGAAACTTTCAAACTCCTGCCGCATTTCCTTTGATGATCTTTCTTCATTCCGCTCAAATAAATCCGCGAAGAGGCTGACTCGAGCGGTCGGTGGCGCGGAGGCACGCACGGACGAGCGGACCTGGGGAGAAAGGAAAAGCTACTGAGAGATAGTGCGCGCCTCACTGCCCCACAAAAGAAGACATCGCCATTATGAACAACTTAGACCGGCGCCATTCACGTCCGTACGTTTCGTTTTTCTTCGCCCTCACGATGAAACTCGATCCGCGCCTCCATTTACAGTCTCAATCTTTTATTCATTCAGACAGCCATTCCCTCCTCTCATTTGTTCGAATTTATCCTCGGCGTCCCCTCCTCGCTCCCTTCCCTGGCTCCCGAAGTTTCCTCCGTCGTTGCTTCATCAGACGTTCGGCCTGCAGAGCCGGGCGGATACCAGACACATTATCGTGAAAACCTGACGAGTATACCCGATGCGTTTTGTTGTTTCTCTTCCCGAGTGAGATCAAATATTAATCAGGCCGCTCCGTATCTGGACCCCTTCATTTCCTTCTCTATGATAGTCTCGGGGTAGAGCTTTGCAGATATCGATTATTTCCTTCAAGTCGTGGGAACGGGAAAAGGCTCCCGGAATAGCTTTCCGGCCGTGGAGAGTACCGAGGGTCGGATGGATGACTCAGAATGCCTGGAGTCCCCTCACCCCAGAGGGAAAGCTCTCTCCGTTCCAGACTGGCTACGTGCCGGTAAAATCATGCCCACCGTTACATGACTCCCGCCCGAGTTCGTCCGGAGCTCACATCTGGTATCCTTCCCATAACGGTTATAGATAGCCTGAGACTTATTATTTGAGAACGACTCGACGAGCGGAGCATTTATTGAGGGCTAAAAGAGGAACATTGCAAATTTCGGAGTTGCTCCATTACAATGGCATCGATCCGAGCGGTATCGGTGGCGGAGGCTCTCTTTCCTCCAGAGACGCCATGGATGCCAGCGGTGGCAGGGGATGATTGTCAAAGTCGTCTTGAACAAGCAGGAAACGGGAGTGGAGCAGAGAGGAAATTCCCCCGATCGGCGGAGTCACTTTGGAGCAGTTTCCGATGGGCTCTTCGTTTATTCCACCGGCTAATCAATTAATCCGATTAATGATCACAGATTCTTATGCACCTTCAGAAGAAAAGAGGAGCAATACCGGGCCGGGGAGCTAGGAGAGCGACGTACAGGGGTACGGAGAACCAGGAACAGAGGGCGACATTCCTCCCTTGGAACGGCTCTTCACGCTCCCTCCTGAGTTCAGTTGTTCCTCTATCCATGCGCGGCAGCTCCCTCGAAATTTGATACTCTCAATTAGGACGCAGGAACTTCAGAGACTGGAAATCTCGTTAATCAAATCTGCACTCCACCGATCGCTCCATCCTAATCTTCTCCCGGAACGAGCCCCTCGAGCGAGCTCTCCTTACTGATTGTGGGAATCGCAGAGGAATAAGAGAGACCTCGCGAGCCGACCCTCCCTCTGGTTCAGTTGGAGAACGGAACACTTATTTCTCGAATCGTCGTCCAAGCGAGCCTGGAAACGCTTCGAGAGATTCTGAGGTCGCATCCTTTGACCTCTGCCGCGTCGATGAGTGTTTGAGTTCCAGGAAACGCCATTGCGATTCAGAATCTTCGCTTGAACCAAGCATGCGCCGGAAAGAGACGATCCATCCGGACAGGTGAGAGCAGAGGGAACCGAGAAGCTCGGCGACGAGACGCTCCTCGTCCGAATAAAACGAACGAGTCAAGGTAGCGAAACCGATAAAAACAACATCCAGAGACAAGACAAATTGAGAGGAGTTCGCACTGTGGGAGCACAAGTTGAGCTTGAGGATCCACCGGCTAGATTGGCTGTGCGGGATCGACGAGTAAGCCGCGCGCCTCCGTTCCCCTTCCGCCTTCCTGACTGTCAGTCCCCCGCTCACCCGTGCGCCCGTTCCTTATAAGGCAGAACAGTGAATCTACGGAAAGGCTATTTGTCAGGGAACAACCACCCCACCAGAGGCGCCTGTAGAAGTCGCTCGCTGGCTTGCTGGCTGACTGACTGACTGGCTTCCCGGGGAGTTAATGGAGTCGAACCCATCAAAGCTTATAAATCGAGTCTCTATTGCGTCCCTCGGACTGAGTCTAGTAATTGACATCGTTTGCTTGCGACTAAGCGGCTGACGGACGGGCCGGAAGCGTACGCCTGGGAGCTGCTGCTTACCAAAGCGAAATTCCACGTGCACAACGCCATCGAACACAGCTGACAAGAAGCAACGCGTCGCTTGCTTTGACCCACTGTCTCCATCGCGAACCCACCCCCGCACGAGATTGATTGAATTGGCCTACGCATCGCTGTTTCGAGAACATCGGTGCTTTATGACCATCTTCTCCTGAGCGAGCGCGAGAGCGTTCTCTGCGCAAGATTTCTGCGAGGGTTGTAGTGAGCCGCACGGGACAGCCGCCGTGCCGAGTGAAAGCTTAGAAACGCCGATGTGAATAAATTCAATTCGATACCAGCTATCGACGCGAACAGGCGTGTTCTCGATCTTAGAGTGCTGAATCACCGCAGGGTTGCATCGGTGTGTCTCGTGATGCTGCGGAGCCTCAAACGGGGGAGTCAGTGAGAATCGTTATGCCTCGACTGGAGATTCTCACAGACGAATATGCTTTCCGTGGAATTCAACTTCCACTTGTCTGATCCCGCCGTCGATCGGCGCCGACGTATGAACTCGCTTCTACGCATTGTGTTTCAAAAATCATGTCTTCGCGAGCTGTATGTACGCGTATCGAGGGAAGTTTTTCTCACATCTGCGAGTTATTCCCCTGTATTCGAGAATCACACCATTCATTCAGCGGTCGCAGAAGAAGTCAATTTCCGTTCCGGCTTAATTGAAGCAGGGATACACGAGCCCTGCTCCAGTCTCATAGAGCCCACGCCCGACTGCAACGTGAAACCATGGAAAAATGACCAACTTATGAGACAGCGACACCGGACACCACCTCTCCGAGCTGCTGCTGCTGCTGCTGCCGTGTGTCCCTCTCGAAAACTGGAAGTCGCGATTCTCATTTTTTGAGTGATCGCTCGTCTAGACCAAGTACATATTTCTCTGGGCCTTATGACCAGAGACCTGACCATGATCACCTGCGAGGGGAGGACGGAAACAAAGCGAAGCGACCGAGGAGCGGGCGCCTGTTACGTTCGGAGAGAGACCCCCCCCCGAATCACCTTTCCGATTCGGATTAGAGTGTGGCATTTCATATATTCATGGGGCTGAAAAAAATCCCCGAGAACCCTTTTCGACATCAACAAGCTCGAGGTTTCGACCCCAAATGTGCTCTCGCTCTCCCGATCTGGAGCGATCCGACTTCTGTAGACACGCAGCAACTCTGGAATTGAAGGTCTGCTCGACACCTTGGCCGCCCGGGGTTCGCTTCCGAAAAAGGGACTTTAAGTGCTGTGAGATCTCCGGCGGTGAGTGATGGCGGAAATTATGTCTCCTTGAGGGGTTCCGGTGGTTTTCAGGGGAGTTCGGGTGTACGACGCGACCGATGCGACTTGTACTCACCGTTGTACTCATTGTACTCTCTACGACAGACCGGTTGGAATCTTCCGCCTCGGAGAGACGTCCTCCGGGAGTTGATCCACTGGAACGAATGCGATGACGGATACTAGGGCTAGCTAAGATCGCGCCGAAAAAATTCTCATTGTCAGTTTCCCCGGCGGGGCATATTCCTGTAGCATCCGCTCAAAGCTCATGGCTAATCTTATCCTCCGCGGAGGGTCTCTCTATCAGTTCTTGATCTTTCTTGACGGGTTTCTGGGAGCCGTGTATCACGAGCCCTGCCTTCGATTGGATTGTCAGAATACAAATCACACTTCACCGTAATAGGGATTTTCGATTCATACGCTTTAAACCGCAGGCTCTCCTACAGGTTTTCTCATTCTCAAAAGCTGAACGCAAAATTGAAAAAAATGAGATGGATCGACACTTTAGTCTCACTAGGTGAGTCTCACAGGGATCAATAGATCGTCGAGATTATAATCTGTTTGACTTCTCTTCGATGACGTCTTGGGGTCCTTCCGGGAGGGACAATTCCTTCAGCCGAAGCTCAGGGAACCTCCCCTCGCTGACTTCGATGTTGGAAGCGGTCACTGATCAGATCCTGTTGAGCCACTCAAACTTCTTTGGTGCGTACGCCCTTGGCCCTCGGCCAAGCTTACCTGCAAAGTCTTGCTGGGTTTGCCCCACCCTAATACGGAGAGAGCTGACGCATCTCCGAAAATAGACTTCCTTAATCGTCAGAAGACGAGCCGACACTAGTGTGTTGACACTACAATTATTGTTTTCATATAGATCGTTCGTCCTCGAGACCGCCATTTGGGAAGCATGCTCCGTGAGGTATTCTCTGGAGTAGAATTTGGGCAAACGAAAGTCGAAAACGTCTGCTCGTATACCTTCTCCGAGAAATTCGGCGTATAGTCGAATATCAGGAGTCCAGGAAGCAGGCTTTCGCCGTGGAATCTAAGACTGTCTCAAAGAGAGGCGAGATGAGGGGTCTAGAATTCTCTGGAGTAGACGACCAGGGTGGGCGGATATGCTCACCATTTACTCTGGGTTCTCCCTGCGAGTCCCTCCGCGTTACTCGGCGACAACAGAGCCCTCTGTTGGCTCCCCGGCGCTCGCGGTCCTCTCTTAGTCGCTGCTCTCAAACATCCTACACAGCATCTCGTCCCTGCGGTAGAAGCAGCGGCGGAGAAGAAGATCGACCTTACCAACACGATACTCGTAGTGAAGAGAGCTTACCGCTCGCCATGTGGCCTTAGATCGTTTCTGTCGGACAACAACCGAGACGTGAATCGGCAAACGAAATGGATACGCTCAGTGTAAAAATCATGATGGACAGTGAGGAGGTGACGCAATGCCTCGTCGATAGACCATCGTGCCTCATCGACGACTCGCAACTGAAGGTGAGATCGGCGTTCTCTGTCGGCCAGCGGTTGCGCGTTCGCAGATGGCTCGATTCGCGAATGCGTATTTTAAGTATGTAGTATTTTACTCAGATGTGCGCAGCCTGACATACGTTTGCGCAACCTCGGGCATGTGACCTTTTCGCTGATGAGAGTTCAGCTGGGGCACGCACATGCAGCGTGTCATATGGGCGAGGTTCGTTTCGCCGCGCCGGACGTGGGCCTTTTCGGGCTTCGACTGAACGATGGATTGGCAACTTTCTAGAAAAAATCGGATTGCCAGGATCAGACCTATTTCTATGAACGTTCGGCGATCGGAGGCAATTGTGGAAAAAGGGGGAACCGAGGTCCGGTATTGTCACCGCGAGTCGCATCCGCTCCCTCCACAAGTAACGAACTCTATGAGGAATGCCTCTGATTGTTTTCGGTTTTTTTTCGCCTCCCATACTACTTTGTCCGTATGTCCGGATCGCAGGTGTATGGAAAGTGAGGAGGGCTCTCGAGTTCGAGAGCAGCGATTGTGCCAAGCAGGTTGAGGAAAAAGTATACCTCTTTCATCACCGGAGAGGAATCAGTTTTCCCTCCGCTGCTACCGCATTGAGCGGGTCTGTTGAAGATGGAGAAGAATCCCGGTGATCCATGACCTAACTCACAAGCTGGACTTCTTGGTATCCTGAAATCGACTGGAGAAGGGTCCATGGTCCGGGAAATGGCACCAAAAAATGTTCTCCTCGGCTCCCACTCGGCGCGGCGGCTCTTATTAGTGGAATCAGGCGGCTCGCACGGGATACATTCATAAATGAAGATACATAGGTTGATTTTCATCTGCATTCGAGGAGCATCCTCCGAAGCGAACATCATTAAAACGAACAGACTTTGTCGATCCCGTCAAGTCCGCTGTGAGGAGATCTCACTGTGTCACGATTGCGGTTACTCCGCAGTGCAACTCTCACGGATCGTTACGCCGTCTCGACGGTTCGTTATGAACAGTGTACCGAGACATACTCGGAGTATCGAATGTCACCCAGCTTACAACTGATCCGTTCGTCGATTCGTATTTATGCTCGCACTTTTGAACGCTATCTCCAGAGGGCAGGGAACTTACATACGCGTACATCTTCGAGCGGGCTCCGGTTGGCCCACCTCCGGATGTGTTCCGAAGCAGAAGAATTTGGACGTGCGTCGAACAACTTACTCAGCACGATCGTTTCCCTTGCTTCCAGTCAGTCGCTCTTGAAGACGAGCGGTTGCCGTCGGAGGAACCAGCCTCGAACTCGCAGTTTCTCCTTGGCGGGGTTGGGACCAGCTATCGACAAGCACCTACGAGGTCATTATCGCAAGGAGCTAGAAACTCGGCGAAATTCCAGATATATTGGGACAAGACTTACTTCGCGACGCCTGTCGGGGCTTTGCGACTCTCCATCATGGTATGTGTGATGACTGGTCAGCTCGCTCCGAGTATTCAGCGAGAATAATAATTGATAGCTATCTCGAGAGAGTGAGGGAAGTGATGAAATCTAGAATCTAAATGCATGGTGCATCTAGATGCATCCTCCAACTCTTGCTAGCCATGAGGTACCTTACAGGGCTGCATGACCATCGCCATTCTGCTCTTGAGTTTTTTCCGATCCGACACTTGTCTTGAGCCGAAGACTCCTAGCTCTTCGAATCCGCAGCAGGATGATCAGCCGTTGAGCTCATCATTTTTCGGCATTCACCTTTTCTTCTGTATCCTGTCGCTGATTGCAATGGTTGCTTGGATTGCGATCGACAACTCGTCCTTCAACTACCGATTCCCCTTCAAGTGGAAGTTTTTCGTAAGTAATTTGGTACTTTTCGACCCAAGGAAATCTCGGCGGATCGATTTTCGGATCGAAGAAATGAGTGTTGCGTGAAATAGAAAGTTTCATGCCCTACAGAACTAGGAAATCCACGTGGTCTCTCACTGGATCCACAGCTAACCTTTCTTTACGATTTCAAGGACTGTTGTGTATATTGTGTACTCATTGTTCTGCTGCTGATATCGAGTTCGGTACTCGTCAAGCTTCGAAACAGAAGCGCTTTGATCACAGCTTGCGGAGAATCTGTCGGAAAACTCGATATGGCCATCGTAAGTTTGTCTAGATCACCAAATCTCGCGAGCAATCTCTTATGCGGAAACTCGTCCGATGTCTCGCAACCATCGGCATCGGAGTATTGTTATTATCGACCTCGACTTGTTGTCCGGAGTGTGCGGCTAGTCTAAACACACCGTTCCTTACAGACGTTCTCTTTCTTGGCCGTAATGATCGTGTTGACGTTGATCACGATACGATTTTTCGAAAAAGACTCCCCTCAGCCGTCGTCGAGAGCGAGCGCGAACCCACTCAACTGGGTCAGGAAATTCTCGAAGTCGAAACAACACGCCCTCATCCTCCTCCAACAGGTTCATTGAAGAAGGATCTCGAACAGATTATGGACGGTCAGTGAGCGCGAATGTTCCGATGCGCTTCACGCCTCCTTGGCGGAAAATGCTCAAGACTTCGGATGTACTCGAGGATCTCAAAACCTGTGGTTGAGGCTCTCCGGCTCAGAACTGGGACCGGAATCGGGGATTCGTCCTTGTCACCGCCAGAATCACGTCGGAGGCGAATGTCCTACATTTCGGAATAGCATTGAGACTCGTGTTCCGCCGCGGGACAAGTTTTTTGTTGTCTGTCACCTCCCTCCAGCTCAGCAGGGAAGCCTCGGAGACTTGTTGTGCACGATTTGGATACGGGATTTCGGTCGACCATGGCCAAATGGAGGTACCCCGGCATCTTTCCGAGGAGAATACCACCTCCGGAGGAGCTGGCCGCCGTATCCGAGAAGGCGACTTTCCCCGATGCGGTCCAAATCTGCATGTGGTTTGCAGACCACTCTGACCTCACGACCGCACGACGCCGACGGTTCAGGATGAGCAGGAGAATGGAAAAAGTCAGTGTTTTAGCTAGAATCTATAACGTACCTATACTTTGAGATCGTCTGTTTTATATATTCAGTATTCCGACGTCGGGCTGGGAATAGCAGTGGTGTATAGGGGAAAGGAGTCATATAAAGGGAAAATGTACACCGTATCTCCCGTACCCCTGTCGCCTTCATCGCGAATAAAATGATTTCTTTGAAAGTCCGAAATAAATGATTGCAGAACTCCGATGACCGGAGTGCATCGATATTGATGCTATATTTTTTCGAATCAAGTTTTTTTGGAACTTTTGACGCTCGGTCCCGTCCTGAGAACGGGTGTGGGGAGTTCCTGGAAATTTCAGAGGTAATTCCACATCCTCTGCCGAATAAGACTCCAGACGGCGAGGACTCGCCTCCGGCTGGCTTCGCTGGCCTCAAAGCGAAGTCGTCCGAGATTTTCTCCCCGTTGCCGAAAAAGGAGGCGCCGTCCCCTCTGCCCAAGGAACATTCCGCACAATCCCTGCAACAGCATTTCTGCGATCGCCAAGCGAAGCTTCGTCGGACTCGCCGGGAAATCTCTTGAGTCCGGCCCGGTTCCCAGCTCTCCTCTGTGGTTTGGGCTCTCCACAAAGCTACATGACAGGCATGCTTTCACTGAGTGATCTCCAGCAACCCAACGCGTTCCCTCTCGAGCTTCAGCAGCAGTTGGCCGCTCAGCCACTCGCGAATCCCGAGTTCCGCTATGGTGAGTCCGAGCGTTTCGCTCCGAGTTTGGCCATAAGGATACCACTTCAGCACAGCATAAGCGTAGCTCTCGTTTCCGTAAATAATGAATGATTAATGGTTTATGGTTCTTGAATTGATATCGGAATGTGAAACGAGTTATGGATAATATTGCAGGCACGGCGGGCTCCGCGGCTCGCGGCGGAGACAAGCGAAGTTTTCCGTCCGCCGGATCGGCAAGTCCTCCCGGAGTCTCAAAGAGACCTCGCACGTCCAACTCGACGTCCACGTCGTCGTCCTCATCTTCCTCGACGACAACCGCGACGGGAACGACGAAATCAGAGGAACCCGTTCCTGAAGGATATCTCAAGTTCCGCTTTAGTGAAGATTGCGGCTTCCCGTCGTGTGGCTACCGCGAGCACCAAACGCTATTCCACTGCACGCGGTTAAATTGCAACTATTCATTCTGCGACCAAACTCGCTTTTCGCAGCATTCTGCGCGTCACGAGCGAACTGATAGCGTTATGGGGGACGAATTCCAGCAATACCGAGCAAATCTCTCGTGTGGCCGAGCGGATTGCGCGTTCAACGCGGCAAATCCCAGAAACACGGCTGAAGCCTCACACTATCACTGTACGGAGTGCGACTTCCTCCGTCGCTTTGATTTCGAGCTCTCATTCGGACGTGATCATTACAATTCATGCACCCAGGTTCAGATTGAGAATATGCGTCCGCAGCTACTCCGAGCCGGATTGTGTTCTGAACATGCATCCCATTTCGGAGACATATGTACCTATTTCAAGCCGTAGAGAATATTTTCTCCTTGTTTATCATCGTTCATGTTGATTTGAGCGCGTTCGATAGAATTCCGAGAGTTCGGCGCCGTGCTAACACTTCATGCCGGAGAACCATCGCAAAATGTTGTAAATATAATGTAGTTTGAAGAATTTAGATCTCGGTCATCACACTTAAAACCCGCTCTAGAGAGCGCTTCTGTAAGAGGGAACCACATGGCAACGGCCATGGTTAGAGTTCTCAGTAGTAGAGTAGAGAGAGTTCTCTTATGTTAGAGTAGAGAAGATGCAACCGCTTTCCGTAGGCTGGTTCTGTGACAAGCTCAAAAATCAGAGAACCTCCGTATTATCCCCCCCTACTTTATAGTGACATGTCAGACGATTACTCGGGTACAGTGACATGTCACTATCGGTGACCTGTGCCGATGTCCGCAAATATGGCGATTCAGTTTCAGTGACATGTCGGTAAATTCGGGTTAGTACGGTATCTCATTGGTTGAGAATGCCGGAGTTCGAGAAGGCTCCAATCCCGATGAGGACGACACGTCGAAAGATGCTGACCCGGAGAACGATGAAAGCGACTAGTCCTTGCTTCGCGAGCCGGAATTTATTGTGGGAAATAAGTTCCCAAGATCCGAATCAGTGTCGAGGCCGATGAGGCTGCATGGCGAATCAGACTGATGAATAAGAGAGTTTTGAACTTTTTTTTATCTTCTTGACGATGTGAAATTTTTACGCGATCGTTCCCGACTTCCCAGTGTATCTCTTGAGCACAGACGTGTGGGAGGACCCGGAATCGGATTACAATGATGATCGCGACGATAGTATTATGAACCTGAGAAAGATCGACTATAAACCTTTCGTGTGTGACATGTGCGGAGCCAGATACACTACAAGATTCGTCCTGGCTTATCCCATTACGCTCCCGCGAATGGATCGTGTTAAGAAACTCCTTCGACGGGCGCGCGATCAACCTCGCCGGTGCCACAAAGGAAGATTCACGGCAAGGTACTGAGCATCGCCCTCGGCATGCTTGCGAAAGTTCCAAGACAACTTCCTTTCTCCCCCGCCTAATACTAAGAACAATCGAGAGTGGCCATACGGAGGCTGCGGTAATCAGTGCGATTTCTGATGACCTGGGAAGCTTCGTCGCGAGAGCGGAGTGTCGTGGAAGCTGAAAATGGGCTTCTGGAGGAGAGGGAGTAAGACAGCAGCTGCATGAGCCCTACGCTTCCGAATTCTCACTCCGATTGATCATTGATCCCTCTCTTGAGTAAAGCGTTCTCAGCCACTAGTTCCTCGTTCCGTTGCCTCTCCTGGGCGAGCAGCGATCGCAGAAGCCGTACCTCGGCTCGAAGTGCCTCCTTCAAAGTCAGAATGTGATTATCGTTAAAATATGAAATAATGCTGAACCGAGATGATTTTGAATGCTGTCGAGTCGATGGGCTATTGTAGGAATAAACGAACGCACGTTTGACTCCGAGAGTCTCGGCTCCAGAGGTGGCATCATGGTCTGGAAGATCATAGAAATCTTGAGTTTCTTGAGGGGCGCAGACAGTGAGAAAAGTTTAGCTCGGAATCTCCCGATTGAGGAACTTCCCACGCTAGAATGGAACTTCTCCCTCATAGCGTGCATCCACTTGAGAAATTTGTCACAAGGGAGAATTCGGTATTATCATTGACCAACCCTCCCAAGATTCCGGGAGGGTGCGCACGCTACGAATGCGCTCGCTAGATTGCGCGGTTCTAATGCATTCGACAGACGGACAGTCAGACAGACAGGCACTCGCTTTTACATATATATGAAGAAAAATTAAAGATCGGACGTATATAGGCATTACCCTGTTTTGCGGAGGCAACTCGCTTGCATCAGAAGAATTCTGTGAGCTCTCGGATGAGGAGTCGGACAAGAAACCAGACTGCAAGTTGCAAGCGTGACGGGGCAGAAATGAGAAGGACGTGAAAGACATGACTCAAAGGGATCACCACATCGGATAATGATGAGGAGCGTACTTTTTGTCTGGAAGTAACTTTCGCTCGCTTTTTTCGAGGACTGCCTAGGGACGATGACGAAGTTGCCTGCTGCAAGAACAAAATTTCTATGGAGAAAAGTCAATGTTCGCAGGAACAATTTCTCCTCGCATTGCATGAGAAGCGAGCTCTTTCTTTCAAAGAGCGTCGATGAAATAATTTGGAATGTACGATATAAGAAAACTCCTCCTTACGAAGTAATCGTGATCCGATACCGGAGCCTCGTCAACGACGATCTGAGATCCTCGGCTTGGCTGGGGAAGATCATTTGAAGGTTCTTTATATATAAGAGTATATATTCCGGTCTACCAATTGAAGCACTCCATAGAGAACGAATTGAATGTTTTGGATTAGTCCGAGGCTACTCTCCTCACCTCGAAGCTCGGAGGATTACGGAACCATAAGTCGACCAAGTTTACAAGCTGTGAGAGGAGTCTCTTTTTCGTTCTTTTCTCTTGGTTGACATTTTTACCGTGGCAAACTAGGCGTTCGAGTTCCCGGCTCTCGCTCTCAAGGCCTTGTTTGAGATAACGGAGCTTCTGGAGTTTGCTTTGTAAAAACTCCTCGTTGTCCACGAACGTTGGCCTTGCTTTCTGCGCTATTGTTGTGAACGTCTCAAACAGCTCTCGGAGATGAGCTAAGGGACAGCGCGTCAGGTCCGCTCCTCCTTTCTGATTCCATTCCGAAGGGACAGCGGGAATCAAATTTTCGATGCACGCGAGGAGCCTTTGCAGCGCGCTCTCCGTCTGGCGCTTCGCGATCTCTTCCTTTGGCTCCCCATATTGCTCCGACATATCCCTGAGGAGCGTGAGAATTTCGAGGTCCTTCGGTCGCTGAAGCAAGAGATATAGAATTACCAGCCGGCCTCCGGCCGGCTCTTTTCGGCTCCCGGTGCCTTCAGAGGACATTTTCTCGGATTCGGGCCAGATAGACCCATCCAATTTTTCGGGCTGGACCACGCTAGGGGGGAGGGGGGATATAGAACTCCTCAATTCACCATCTGACTGGTGCAGTGATCATCAAGATTTGGTGAACGGGTTTCTAGGTCCCGACCGGTGGGGAGAGGCGAAGCTGGAGACGCCTCATTTAATGAAGCGCTCGCAACAAGGAGCGAATTTCGCAAGTCCCTGAATTGTCAACGGGATCGAGAATCGGCTGTAGATTGGATGCACCGAACTAAGAAACTCCGTTTGCTCATTATTGGAGGTCTCGCATAAGGATAGAGGTAGCCTGGGCAGCTCGGGATTGGGAATTGTCGTCCCGCTGTGAAAGTCAAAGATGAAGGAACCTCGGCTCCATGTGGGGTCATAGCGGGTATCTCGGTTTCATTCGTGTCCGGACGCCGCATGAATGGGCCGCAATGCCGTGCGCCATATCATCGTGGCAAATCAGAGTCGTCGAATCAGTAAGTTCCAGCATCATTACTGACCTCTACGTTTAGTTCGGGCAGGAAGCTCTCTATCACATAGGCGACGTATTGTTGAGAAGGAGTCGACGGGGAGAAAAACGGCTTAGCGAGGGGCATAATCGTTGAGAGCCGGCAGGAGTATCCTGTTGTGAACGGCGGATTCCCTGGGATATCGAGCTTTTCCGCTATCATCTTGAGAACACTTTGCTTGCAGGCTGGCGTCTGTGCAAACTGTGAAATGGAAGGAGATCCAGGTTCAGAGAAATGCATAGGATTTGAGCTAGAGGACAGTAGCACGGTTTGGAGCCCAGTGTGAGCACCTGATATCTCTATCGAGCACGAGTTCTATAAACGAACTTGGTACTGCGCGCCTCTATCGAAAGTCGAGCACCGCCAAGATACCCGTCAGATTCAAAATCACTGCTCTTAATTCCAGCGCTCCGCCCAGGGATCGTCGGCTTGAGTGCGTCGAACGTCCGCTGTAGATAGCCCCTGAGCTAGGCTTCGCACTTTAAGTGCCTCTCGATGTTTAACTTGGTTCATGGTCTATTGCCATGCATTGTACGGACGCAGGGCCTATCCCGACAGTCCAATCACTGGGACAAGATCGACAGAAACATCAAGACCCTTCTCGTTCGTCAACGATCTCCCTGCCCACTCGTCGGCGCCGAAAATACAGAAGTAGCGTCTTTACTCTGACTTCGCCGCTCCGATGAGATGCATATGCCCCCCAGAAGGCGACGATTCTCGTCCGGAACGGCTCAAACGGAAGCATCAAATGAGGATCATCACGAATCGTTCGACAATCTGATTTTCCAGGAGCTGTGCACAGAATGAATATTCGCAAACGAATCGACCACCTCCAAGAATCCATGCAAGCATCAAGATGTCAAACGAATATCCTCATCATCTGCTGATTATCAACAGGCGCGGAAATCTGAGGGTTCTCAAAAAGCTTCTTTCCTTAACTGAATAAGGAAGGACCTAAACCAGGAAGTTCGAGCGCCCCGATTATTCTATCAAAAGAGACCACTGTCCATTAACGAACGAAACGACAAATGGAATCTTTCTGCGGCCCTCGACTAGGACAAGACCCGACTTGCTCATACCGAAATGATGAGTAAGCTGTCCCTTCAAGAAAGCAAAAGAGATGGGAAGCCGCCAAACTACGGAGGCATCAGGACGATAGACTTTCCGATCATTGAAGCTCTGCGCCACGCCGCGCCGTTCGCTCCCCATGACTATTCAATGATTAGATGAGTAACGGCTTCCGTACACAAAGAGCGAAGTCGAGCTCCGGATCAATGTCTACGGGACAGAGCGCTGGGCATTCCGCAAAGACGACATTGGAGACCGGCTTGAAGTCCGATCATGGGGAGTCGGCAGTTCACGACTATCGGGAACCGGGAATCCACCGATTTGAACGACTATTTTCGAGTCTAGGAATTCATGCGCCGAGCGCGTTGGAAAGCTGAGCGAATGCGAACCATCTCGGCTCCGACTTCGGAGCCGTCTGTTTTCGTAAATCTTGTGTTTTCAGGAAGATGCTCAGTAGAACAGGACCGAGCTCCGAGCTTGAGACAAACCCTGAATCAAGAATAGTTTGACCGCGAGGACATGGAAGCCGCAGATGATGAGCAAGGCCGGGGAAAAGAGTGAGAAGTGCTCTCGATCGCTTATCCGGAGCTATATGAAATCGGTCGGAGAATATCTTCTGAGAATCTGTCATTCTGCAGGTCAGAAGATGGCCCGTCAATATACCTTGAAACCCGAAACGAACTGGATCAAGCCAATGAAGGCACCATCATTGATTCGGGTGCAGACTTCAGCGCTCTTTCGAAGGATGATTTCCTGTACGTCTACTTCGAGTGATAGGCCTTGCAGCTTCTTGCAGAGGAATAGGACAAACGCATTTGACGCGTCGTTGATCGACGAAGTCTTCATGTCATCGAAGACACCTTCAATGGTCATCGCCGGGGACCTTTTCAAAACTGAAAACAAGGATTGCTCCACGAGACGGAGCTCCGCTTGGCATTCCACTGTCAAGCTACGATACAGATACTTCGCGATTCTGCGAAACCGAAAATTTGGTCAGGTTGGCGAATTTCCCACAGAACAACGCCTTCTCAGCAGACGCTTATTTAGTCTCACCTGACGTTATCCCTCTCATCAGCGGAGAGATGAGGAAGATCGAAAAGCGCTTGCTGGCGTACGCGACTCTCAAAATCACTGCACAAATCAATTGCGGCCTCGAAACAAGCTTCTTGTGAAGCAGGGAAGTGTTTGTAGTACCGCCGCAGAACGCCCAATAGCAACGTTTTTTCCTGCGGGATAGATAACCGATATTCAAGCCAGTGCGCGACAGATGAAGGGGTCTGCGAATCAGAGAGGCCGCTGATTCCTTCCAGCAATCAGATATTGCAAACCTTTATGCCGCCGAGGCGGTATGTATCCACGATTTTTCTGTAGAGTTTCTCTTTCGCCGCTTCTTGGCCGGTGCTGACCGCCTCGATCGATTCGTTTACAGCGGCTCTCAGCCCATGGAGCTCACTTTCCATTGCGTGGAATATCTCGATCGGAAGTTTTGAATCACAACAAGAACCCGACTTCGACGGGTTGATCCACTAAATATCTCGCCCTCGCTTCCGTCTCAATAGCGGACTCCAACAGTCTGATGAACCGACAGTTGGATTCGAATCCGAATACTGCCGCTGCAGTGGAATACTTTCGATTTCAGCGAGTCGAGCGAGCAGCGATCGAAGATTTCTTTCATGAAATCGTGGGGTGTTTTGCGGCGAACCCGCGCTCTGTAGTCTGTGGGAGCATCGTCGTCTGCTGATCGAAGCCACTCATACTCATCGACAGGGTCACATCTCGAATCTCACATCTAACCTAAACTAAACTTTTTCGGGCTGGACCGCACAGCCAAGGTTTAACGTCCCCTTATCTAACTGTTATTCATATTGCTTCCGAGGACGGATCCAGAGAGCAAATGTACCCAGGAGCATCAAGGCCGAGAACCTGCATATTTTTCCTGCAGCAGGGATCGAACCCACACCGCCTCCCGCGCGAGTGGCGTCGTTGCGGCTATGCACGTCTGCACGAGAAGCGACAAACGCGACCACTCGACCACCCGTCGGTTTGGCGCACAATGGAACTCTTCCCGTACAGATGTTCTCTCGGCGAACCTCACGAAACGAAGTGGGATAGCTCGATTAGAGACATCAGTCGACTCATCGACCAGCATCGAGAAAGAGGAGGTGTTCTCAATCATCTGCACAAGCTGACTCTCCACATCAGCGGACATTTTCACCATCCTCCGCTGAATAGTCTGTTTCTGCGTCTGAGCTTCACTGAGGAGCAGTGATGAGACACGGCTTGATCAGCTTCTCGCCGATAGTGTATGGTTTTTTGTTTTTCGCGATGGAGCTATTTCAACGAAGCTCTCCGTATTTTTTCTTTCTTCAAGTCGCTTTCGGCTTCCGTCTTTTCCTGCATGTCTTTATAGAGTTGCTCAGAATACTCGATCGACTTCAGAGACAGATTTGAGTGTTGCGAGCGGAAATGTCTGAGAAGTTTCGATGGTTAGGTCCCAGTAAGCCGAAACCTTCACGCCGAAACCCAGAAAGCCGAAACCCATCACGCCGCTTTATCGCATCATTAGATAAATTTTTCTCGCATGCAAGGCACAGAGGACGCGGAGCGGTTTCGCTACCGGCTACCGGGCTCCATGACGAACCCAAAGGCCAAGTAGTCCGGGGCGTACTTCCTGATAAAGTTGGCCTTCTTCGCAGGCCGATTCTCGGCAGATGCAACCTTCTTTTCTGATATTCGCGTGGCTTGATCCCGATTTTCTTCGAAGACTGCGACGATATTCCTTGTGCTTCGCGATTCTCGACTTCCATTATCGCCACTGGACATGCAGTCACTATTTCTTCCATCTCGAATCCTGATCATCGTCACTCATTTCGAAAGAATCAGCCCGAGTCGCGTGACTACTCTCGCTCATGCCGAGGCGCTGTGAAGATTCGGGGTGCTTCCAATTCAGAATCGAAGTTGTGCAAGACTGCACATGTGACCTAACATTCGCGGGCGTCAGACATCCGAGCTTGAGCCGAGGAATTTTAGCTCGAAGTTGATTCCGAGGTGTACATGTACAGGCGAGATCAAATGATTCACGGGTATCCTTGCGATATGTTAATGTGAAATGTAAACGAAGGAGTAATAGAGCTTGCCTTTTGCGGTCATCAAATGTCTTCGATGAGACCTCAGACTTGACGCGCCGTTTTGTGGATCCGGAGCAAATACGGTCGTGGACGTAGCGAAGTGGCCGAGAGTCAGGTAATATTATTCGAAACGAAGACGACAATGCTACAACCGCGCGACGCGCGAGGAGTGCTCCAACGAAGGACGGTTCATATCATCAGAGCGCGCGGAAATAACGAAAGGGTACAGCTGGGTAAGGGGAGGTTTTCGGCTACGACTCCGATTTTCGAAATCGATTGCGTGGCGTAATTTCCCACTCTTTAGGTGCATATTGACGCTTTCAGATCATCTCAATCGCCTTTCAAGTCCGAATGGTACGCGAAAGAAAAATTAAAGTGTGTTCGGACCCCTGAAAACACCTGAAATCTTTGAACGGTCATTGCGCGAGAACGGAATAAGCCACAGACTCGCGCTTGGTGGCGTTCGAAAGCTGGGAAGAAGGGCTACAAATCATGCCCCAATCACCGTCCTGAGATATTTTCTCCAGGAGATACAGACCGATTTTCTTCTGGAGAAGTCATTTTTTCGTGATTTTTCCGGAAAAAAATATGATTACCCAGCAGGAATCGCTTGGGACAAGTTTTTCTAAGACCCTCGCGTTCCTACGAATGCGATTGCTTCGGTCCGGTGTTCTCCCTTTTTGGTATTGCGTCGTTTCCGAGCGTTTTCATTAAAAACCCTCGATTTGCGGGCTATCACACTAGAAGCATGCACTACCAATCGATCCTCGTAAGGAAAAGCCATCGTTGCGCTAACATTGCATCAATCAGTCTTCTCGGTTCATATTAATTTATCCAGTTTTCATCGCTATTCTCTTCGATTACGGGCACATTAGCACCGCGATTAGAAAGCGAGCTGAGTATTGCCGCCGGTCGGACGATTTGAGCGAGGTACCGGGCGTAGATAATAAATGACGGTAGCTACATGAGAACAGCAGCCCACCGTCCGAGCTTCATTTTTTCACTCGCAGAAGTCACGCTGAATCGCAGTGATTCCCATTGAAAACGGGACATAGTCCACGTAGCACCGGTATTTCATAGCCCCCACATGACGGGACTGAACTTGGATTTCGAGGATAAGGCGTTTCTCGCGATGGCACTTCAGCGTCAGCTTGCCATCTTCACTCATCATCTCAGCTGGATACGAGAGTGCCTGAGAGAGCTGATAAATGCTTGTGAAGAGGACCTCCAGATCATCTTCATTCAGCTCCGGGAAGTCCTCAACCAAGTCGGAGTTCACTTCGAATCATGGTCGCCGCACTGCATTCCGTTGTTGGTTCGTTTTGTTCGTTCGAACTTCCATTCCCAGGGAATTCGGAACAATTGTCGTCTCTTTCATGCGCTCCACCACTTCGACGAACATTCTCTCATCAAACGTCGGACGCTTCCCGGAGCGGTTGTTCAAGTAACAGGCGATCTGGAGCATCGTCCTGATCCTTGGAAGTGAAATATTGTCGACTCTATGGTCGAAAGTCCTCTACTTATCTTTGATGATGCCGTGAACGGCTTCCAGAGCCCACCGAATTCTAGCCGTTTTCTGACTCCAGATGGAACGAGACGACGCGCAGCCGTTGAACCGCAAAGGAAACACAACCTCTCAGTGCTGGCAACTCTGTTGGAGGGCACTTCGATGAGTTCGACCGGTTCAGGTGAAGCGAGAGGCTCTTCGTAGTCGGAGTCAAAGCTCATTGGTGACTCATGAGCGCTGCTGGTCGATTGACCGGCGACTGGAGCTACCTCCATGTTCTTCTGAACATCTTCCGCCACATCCTGTCACATGAAAACACGACACGATTCACATACTCCGTCGCCGATTCTCACGTCAATGTTCGGGAATGTGACTCGACTTAGTTGTGCGACTTCGCTGCTCTTGATTCTTGATCAAGTTCACACGTCTCTTTCCTTTCGGTCACTTCTCACAGGCTCTGCACTGAATATCCGGCATCTCCACGAATGAATGGTGAACTCGGGAACGAACACAGGTGGAGCAATGAGTGATAACGGAGCGCGAGAACAGAGAACTTGGCGGCGAAGATTTTTCCAGCAGTCGTTCCGTGAGCGGCGCGCGCGCGTACGGTGTTTCGTCAGCAGTCGGCATTGCCGGCTCTCTCTTCCAAAGAGGGCGTTTTTTCCCCGCTTTTTCTCAGAGAGCTCGCGTCTGCTCGAAACGCGGGAACATCTGAATTATCGCCGCGGCGATTGGCGACTCCTTGGCATGTCATTGGAAGACGATAGCCATGAAGACTGGTGACTTTTCCTTACGGGGATCGATTGGTAGTGCATGCTTATAGGATGATGGCCCCCAAATCGAGGGTTATTAATGGAAAACGCTCGGAAACGACGCAATACCAAAAAAAGAGAACACCAAACCGGTGCAATCGCATTCGCAGGAACGCGAGGGTCTCAAAAAAAAACTTGTCCCAAGCGATTCCAGCTTGGTAATCATACTTTTTTCCGGAAAAATCACGAAAAAATGACTTTTCCGGAAGAAAATCGGTCTGTATCTCATGGAAAAATATATTTCAGGACGGTGAACGGGACATGGTCTTGTAGCTCTTGTTCCCAGCTTTCGAACGCCACCAAGCGCAAGTCTCTAACTGATTCCGTTCTCGCGCAATGACCGTTCCAAGATTCCAGGTGTTTTCAGGGGTCCGAATACACTTTAATTTTTCTTCCGCATACCATTCGGACTTGAAAAGCGATTGAGATGATCTGAGTGCGTCAATATGCTCCTAAAGAGTGGGACATTACGCCACGCAATCCATTTCGAAAATCGGAGTCGTGGCCGAAAACCCCCCCTTACCCAGCTGTACCCTTTGAACCAGGAAGACATCTCGACTGGAAAACCTACGATTATATGCCTGATATTGCCAAAACAGGATAGATATTCAGCTCGGCGGTCCGCGGGGGCAAAACCAGATTTCGACGGTCCGCGGACTCGGAGAAGTTGCCGTCGCCTGTTATAGAGGCAGGGTCCAGATCGGAGTCTCTATCACATCTCATCGAGAGTACGAGTGAGAAGTCGAGTTACCATCCATCAAGATAATGGGAGACACCCGGAATGGTTGGCTTGCATGGCTACGTCAGTTTGAGTGCATACACCTGAACACGTAAGGAAAACGAAAGTGTCCGGACAACAACGATATCCCGGATCCCGAACGTCGACGAGTTGAGAAAATCCCGAGGACCAGAGTATCCAGAAGAGTTATCGTGTTCAGTCGCAAGGATCTGCCTACCAAAGAGAGGAATTCACGACCAATCATGAGACAACCCTAAGCTCCACCCCTCGAATCGGATCTTTTGGCACCGACAGCAACTCCGGCAGGAACATGGGTAAGTTCGATTTTTCGAGATCTGGGTTTTCATAGAAACTTCCTGAACCTCTCATGGAGGCTTTGTCGAGGATCGAGAGGCATTGAAAGGGCGATCCTCCACCGCAGGATTCGCGAACCATCCGCCGATGTTCAACACAACTCCTTCGATCAACTTCCTAGAAGACGAGGAGCGTCTTCCGATCCTAGCCGATGAGGATACCCGGACTCGATACATGAATCGTTATCCCGTCGGCGACGTGTGCAAATCAGATTGCGATCTGATGTGCCGCGAGCATTACCACTGTATAACAGGTAAGCTCCGTTTGACTTTTCGGAGCGAGTCGCCTCCGCGACTCCCTGCGCAATCGATTCCATGAATTTCCCGAAGAAACGCGAGAGACCAGCCAAGCTGGATTCACCGAAAACTCCCGTTCCTACATCGTTGGCTGTCGCGCTCAGCGCCTCCGCAGCTTCCGTTACCCCTCTGAGTGGGCAGCTGACGTATAAAAAGCTGAAGATGCTCTCCGAGAGCAGAGACGGATTCAAATTGAGCGGAAACGAGTCGCTGTCCGACGAATCGTTCGAAGGATTCGATGTCTTTCAGGACGGGGCTCAATGCCACGACGTACTGTGTTCGTTTTCCGGCAAACGCCATGTCCATTGCAACGTCGAACGATGCTCCTACGCGACTAATCGCGATGACATTCTCGACCTTCATTCTGGTTTCCACCAAAATATCGACATAAGCGAGAATTATGAGGTCTACGACAGCAGCATCGACTGCCGGCGACCTCACTGCGAGAGCAACCGAAAGATTCGTCATTTCCACTGCACCCGCCGTAAGTATTCGAGCCAGATGTAGCTGTCACATCACCGCAGGTTTGGCTAACTGTGTTCTCGGGCGACATTGTCGTTCGTTCAATGTCAGTCACTGTCGGACATGCTTCAATTGGAACCGAGCGACCGGCGCGGCTCCGGTGCTAGACTGGACGGCGAACGAGCCCGTTTCGGCGGACGTGCGGGTGCACATCCGAGCATGCGGCTGCGATCAGTCGTTCGTGCGGATGTCCGCCGTGAGCGCGCATGACGCGACTCACGAGACGCTTGCGACTCCGGTCAAAAGCGAACCGATGGCAGCGAATCTGTCGTCGCCCGAAGACCAAAGAAACGCCAACTCGAGTCCTCTGTCGAAGAAGACTTAAGACGGCGAGGACTCGCCTCCGGCTGGCCTCAGAGCGAAGTCGTCCGGGATTCTCTCCCCGTTGCCGAAAGAGGAGGCGCCGTCCTCCCTTCCCAAGGAACATTCCGCACAATCCCTGCAACAGCATTTTAGCGGCCTTCT